TCCACCGTCAACTTCAACTGGAGTACCCGGGAGAGCTTCTTGAATTATTACTCCCGCTTCGTTTTTCAGCGTTCGGACTTTAGCCCAAGTAGTGCCGGCGACGACGACATCACCAGGTTTTAGCGTTCCCCGTTTAACGAGAACAGTAGCTACACGACCACCTTTTTTCGTAGTCGCTTCGATGACCCATCCTTCAACATTGCCATCTCTCTCAGCCCGGTGGTCAAGCATTTCCGACAATGTCACCGTAGCCTCTTCCAGGTCAAGCATGCCTTGCCCGGTTTTTCCGCTGACGCATATAGCTTGAACATCACCACCGATATCCTCAACATGGACGTTGTTCCGAGCAAGATCTTGTTTCACTCTTTCAACGTTGATGTCCGGCTTATCGATTTTGTTAATGGCAACAATGATAGGGACGTTCGCCTCCTTCGCATGCTTGATAGCTTCGATGGTTTGCGGTTTAACACTGTCATCAGCAGCTACAACAAGGATGACAATGTCCGTTACATTCGCCCCTCGTCGACGCATGTCGAGGAAAGCAGCGTGCCCTGGCGTGTCCAAAAAGGTGATAACTTTGCCGGATGGCATTGTCACAGAGAATGCACCGATATGCTGGGTGATCCCGCCATGCTCGGTTGCTACAACGGATGACTTGCGAAGCCAATCCAAAAGGGTAGTCTTTCCATGGTCAACATGGCCCATAATAGTGACGACCGGGGGTCGCGGTGACAAGTTTGAAGTATCCTGCGGTGGTGGAGCAGCTACCAGATCGTCGCCAGCATTGTCGATAATAGGGGTGAAATTAAATTCCGATGCAATTAACCCTGCAGTTTCGGCATCTAAGATATGGCTGTATGTGGCTTCTTCGAACCCGAAATCCGCCAGGCGGCTCAAGAAATCGGCTGGTCGAACACCCAACACATCGGCAAGGTTACCGACTGTTATAAACTCGGGCAAATATATCGGCGCAGGAGCCTCGATTTCCTTTTTAGCTGCCTTTGCATGTTGCTTTTTCAGTTCTTTGAGTCGACGGCGCTCAGCACGCTCAAGTTCACGATTATAGTCCAGGTCGTTTGAAACACGTGAAACGGGGACTTCTCCCTCCTCATCATTACCATCTCTCCTTCTCCCTTTCTTCTTAATTCTCTTTGATTTCGAGTCTACACTCGCCTCTGCCTCCACTTGTGGATCAACTTCTAATGCAAGGACTTCATCTACCTCTGGCTTCCGATGCTCCTTCGGAGGAGCTGACTTGGACAGTTGGGATGCTATGTATTCCTCTTTCTCTTGCTGTTCTTGAGACCATCTTCCCTTTCGGAACCCTGAGAAAGCGTCGATTGTGTTATTGGTCGTTGTAGATGTGGTTCCGCCTCCGTAAGAAGTGGAGATGTTAACTCTGCGTACTATTGGTGCCTCGCGCACCTGATCACGGGGCTTTACACTGCCACGACCGCCGTTTGTGACTCCAGTTGGCAACGCAGATGTGAAAGAAGATGGTTGGGTTTCAGGGGTGCCGCATCTAGGGCAGACCTTACTAGGAGCGGGATTAACATTCCTGCAGACTCGACAATTCCAGCTCCCCCCCTTATGGTCACGCAATGGTGGAGCAGCGTTGTAGCCATTTGTTCGAGTAATCCGAAAAGAGTTCACGGGCTGTTTTTCTTGGTTTCGTCCGATTACATTTCGTCGTTCGCGTACCTCCCCTGCGCGACCGGAATTCTCCGCATGAGTAGACCACGAGGAATTCCGCCCAAAATCGCATAACGTATTTGGATTGTGTGGGAGCAGCATGGTAGTACGTGTTGACGAACCTCCATCCCATGAGACCTGTGTGTGCTGCCCGTGTTTCCTCAATGCATCGCGCTGTTTCGTTTCTTCGACAGTGAGTCCATTCACTATCGGGATCGAAGAAGTATTAAAACCTCCGCCAAACCCTCCGCCGAACCCTCCGCCAAATGCTCCTCCAGCTCGACCACCAACTCCGGGACGGCCAAAAGCAGGCCTTGAAGCTTGAACGGGTCCGGTGTGTGGGCCATCATCGTATTGCTCCGCAACGGCTTCTGCTGCAGCTGGAGGTCTAGACAAACCAGAGGTCGAATTGAATTGTCTTCGCGGTCCGCCGTGGACGCTGGCTGTGGGAAGCGAGGGGGTCAGGCTCCGCCAGGCGGAGCAGATATGACAACTGTCTAGGCATCGCGAGACCTTTTAGGACACCAAATTAGCAAACTGAACACCATCATGCAAGATCCACCAGCATACCTTCAAAACAGATCGCCTGACCATCCTGGGTTAAAAAGGATTGACTCTAACCTGGGTTTCCATCACATCCAGGTGGCAGCTACGAATTTGGTCATTTCCACCAAAATTTTTAGGAGGAAATCGGATTACATCAGGAATTATCGGGCCGAGTATAAACCCGATTTGCGCAAATCCCTGATTGTGGACTTAAATAAAATACACCCAATTGCCTGATATAGGAGCAGTTGGAGCGATATATGAACAGTTTTATTGGGAAACCGGCCCTAGTGCAATCAGGTTTATTTTCTCGGCGGCTTGGTGCAGTCCGATCACGTCTTTTAGAGTTTCGGCGGAGAAGCAGATAGGAATCAGAGGCGCCATCCTGCCTTTTTTTGTTTCCTCGTACTAGTATTCTTCCTCGACAGCGAGTTGGTGTCAATGTTCGAGCGGTATAATTGTGCGCCTTGTACCTGTTCTGCGTTTTGAGGAGTTTTTTTCCCACGTTGTTTCGTCAATTGGCTCGGCATACAGAGTATACAAAAATAATTCAACCAGCTGCGGGAACTGGAAAAGATGGCAGTCAACGAACTTGAAAGCGAAGGCGCTCTGCGAACAGTGAAAGATCTCACTGCCGGCGCTGCTGGCGGTATTGCGCAGGTTCTCCTTGGTTAGTTTTGGGCTTCCCTAGCCGTTCCAGGCACTTCTTTTGAAATTGGGACTCATAGTCGTCGTGGCTTGTATTCTTTTCAAAGGGGAGGGGGCAGATGGGGATATCTCGATGGCTACCCGATTACTTCCCAATTGAGCAACTGAAGAACCTATAGTATACGGTATGCTAATTCGTATTTATTGATTACAGGTCAACCATTTGGTAGGTGTTTGTTTTTGCGGCACATTGGGACTCCAAACTAACCCCGCACAGACATTATCAAGGTCCGACTCCAAACCACCACAAATTACTCAAACGCCTTCGATTGTGCCACAAAAATTTTGAAGAACGAAGGTCCGTTGGCGTTTTACAAGGGAACTTTAACACCATTGGTCGGAATTGGTGCCTGTGTAAGCATCTCCATCGGCCGAAATCATGTCGATATTGAGGATCCTCAGTTGGCGTATTCGAGTCTATTTGCCCTTCCGCAACGAAAATTTCCCAAGGCGCCTACAGGGATATTTTCCACTTTGTGGAGTTCGTTAACTAACTCGCGGTAACACGAACTAGGTCAGTGTCCAATTCGGAGCTTTCCATGAAGCACGGCGACAATTCGAAGAATTGAACGCCAAAAAGGACCCCCGTAACACATCTCTATCTTACCCACAATACTACCTTGCTGGAGCTTTCGCTGGCATTACCAATTCTGTCATATCCGGGCCCATCGAGCATGTCCGCATTCGGTTACAAACGCAACCACATGGCGCCCAGCGGCTATATAACGGGCCAATCGACTGCATCCGCAAACTGTCAGCTCATGAAGGCGTTCTTAAGGGTATCTATAGAGGAGGTCTCGTCACCGTATTCCGAGAAGCCCAAGCCTACGGCGTTTGGTTCCTCAGTTTCGAATATCTCATGAACTGGGACGCAAAGCGCAACAACATTAAGCGAGAAGAGATCTCAGCCGTCAAAGTGGCAACCTACGGAGGTCTTGCAGGTGAAGCTCTCTGGCTAGCAAGTTATCCTCTCGATGTCATCAAGAGTAAGATGCAGAGCGATGGATTCGGAGCCCAACAGAAATATGCGGGGATGACCGATTGTTTCAAGAAAACTTTTGTGACTGAGGGATTGGGCGGGTTCTGGAAGGGAATTGGACCAACGTTGCTCAGAGCAATGCCAGTTTCTGCGGGAACATTCGCAGTGTGAGTGGATTTCCTTCTCTTTTCCTTCTTCGCAGAAGTATTTAAAACGCTAACATTCGTTATTTAGCGTTGAACTTGCAATGAGAGCTCTTGGATAAAAAAAAAAAAAAAAAAATTACTGCCAGTCGTATTTCATTTTAGATGCCCAGCTCGCGGCCATAAATCGACCCTACACCGTGATTCAATATTTCCTAATTATAGACTTTGTCTTTTTTGGATTTTGCCCGCCACCTCCTACCGATATATTATTGCATTGCACTGTATTATACCCTATGCCTCATTTTGTCTTGAATGCAAATAGATCTGTCTCGTGAATTTTGCTAAGAATAACTTGACAGGCATCGTCCACTCCAGTCGATACATACAAACGGTGTTTTTGCCATTTGCATGTGACATCCAAGACATTGGTTATTTATTGCCCTTATCAGACATGTCTACCGTTCAAACAGTGTTGTGCCAAGTTAGTGCTACATCTGAAGTTATCTACCAAACACATGAAATGTTGTACAGGGAATTATGAGGAGGGAACCCGAGAGTCGTCTGAAGCTACACGCTGGCGATACCAAATCTTAGGAGGATGATAGAGTTTGTGAGTTTGGCAAGCATCCGTTCGATCTAAGACATTGTATGTATTACGGGGATTTGTGAATTAAATTTAGGAGATCATTCGAAGTTCAGAGCAATTTTTCTCATACTAAAATTTTGATCCAGACATTGCAGTATCATGCTTCTCAAAGCGGAAACCCCAGCCCGCCCCGGAAAATGATGCTTAAGGAACATGAAGGACACAAGCACACCAAACTTCTCCATGTCGCCCAAAGGGCGTTCATCACTCGTCTTTCTCCCCACCTCGCTCTGCTGCTTCAGCCGTTGCTTCCTCGTCATAATAAGCAACTTCGTAAAGATGCCCATCCGGATCTTCCATGCTCCTGGTGTAGAGTCCGCTACCACAACTCTCCGGTATCATAATTGGACCTGGCGTCCCACCTGCTTCCAGTCCCTTCTTGATTAGCGCATCTACTTCCTCCCTGGAGTTAACCATGAGGGTCACAATGGTCTCGTGCGAAGTCTTGGTGCAGGCGATCTCGCGACCGGATGGGAGGAATTTGCCAAAGACGGAATGGGTGCCGTAGAAGATGCTGAAGGAATCGCCATGCTTGAGGTGCAGGGTTGTCTTAGCGTCATAACATGCGTTCACTTCAAAGCCGAGAGCTGTTCCGAAGCGCTCTGCGGCGGCAATATCTGTAGTGGCGAGACTGACAGTGAAGGATATGTTTGGAGGGGCCATTGTCGATGTGCAGGTTGGGCTTGAGAGAGGTATTGGCAAGTGCCCGGGTGATTGAGCGGTTGAGATACAGTGAACAAACGATGGTCACAGCTCAAGAAGAGAGTTCGAATAGATTTATTTTTTTTGACTCTTCAGTCTTGGTCTTTTCCTCCATCAGTTCTTCTCGTTCCATCCTCCCTCTTTATATCATCGGCGGCTGTACCCCTCCCATTGCCCCTCCAGCGTTGCCAGATGGCGTGGGACCTATCTTTCGGCTTGTTTCCATGCCCCGAAATCCGACTCTGTATCGTCACTCTGGCCATCGACAGTTCTTGGCCCCAGGCAGCAACGCGTCCTTGTCCACACCAACGAATGGCATCGTTCTTGGCTTCATGCTTGTTGTGTCAGTACGTCTTTCCTGGCGCTTGGCAGACGCGCCAAGTTCGCGTGAACACGAGACCGAGACTGTCAATTAGGCATCAAATCAGGAAACGGAAACAGAAGGCTCAAGATGGATTTTGGAGGATTCCTTGGATTCTTGGATTGTTGGATTGTTGGATTGTCTCAGGAAATGTTTGGTGACTTTCAAGTTCTTATAACCAACAACATATTGTACGATTCCAAGCTCTCCCAGGTAATTTTGAAAGTTCCGCTACGGCGATTTAGGAAGACAAAAGATCGTTTCTTGGAATGGTATTGAAGGGATACTCTACCCTGTTGTTCCTATTTGTCTGCGGAAAACAGAAGAAAGGCGGTGATTTATACCACAAAATAGGACGACAAGTATGTAGGAAGAGGACGCAAAATTTTCACAGAGAGAAATTATAGAGAAAGGCCATAGAGAAATTAATAACCAAACGAAGCAAAAATAAAAATCTGAGCTAGAAAGACCCTATTTATACATTATCTTTTCTACAGTAGAAAGAAAAAGCACCCGGAAGGGTCAGGCATACCAATACCAGAATATAAAAGGGAGAAATAAAAGAGACGCTGGTACATCTACCCGTCCCGTTTACTGACTATTGAGCCCTTCCTGCTCCCGCATCCCGGCAGACTTCGGCTTCCAATCTTCCAAGATCTCATTCACAGGGTACATAACCTTCCCCTCCTCTGCCTCCCGCAATCGTATTCGCTGCCCATCCTCGCCTGCCCTCCCCAGGACCCCAGCAATAACCGCAACAGATCGCAAACTATCATCATTCGCCGGTATCGGATACGTAACGTGCGTCGGGTTCGCGTCGGTGTCGATGATCCCAATCGTCGGAATCACATGCAGCCCGCATTCGTGCAGCAGCGGCCGATTCTCCAGCGGATTCAGACACACGACCAGATCCGGCTTCAGCGCGGGGAGCGCGTCCAGCTGCGCTTCGTAGCCCGGCAGCGGCTCGTCAAAGGCATTGACCACCTGCTTGCCGCAGTGGCCCAGGATCTGCTCGCTATTCGTCAGGCTGCCGGGGATCCAGCGCTGGAAGACGTGGCAGCCCTTGGCGCGTTCGGCAGCGTTGACGACGATGCGTCGTTGGCCCTTGCGCGTGCCGACGAAGAGGATCAGGCCGCCATTCCTTGCGACTTCGCGGACGACTTTGGCGGCGCGCCGGAGGTAGGCTGCGGTCACGTCCAGGGAGATGATGTGTATGCCCTGCCGGACGCCGAAGATGTATTCTGCGTTCGCTGGGTTCCAGAGGGACGTAGCGTGGCCGAGGTGGGTTTGCGAGGCGAGGAGGAGGTTGAGGGTTATGTCTTCGACGCGGGGAGGGTTTGCGATTAGGCTTTCAGGGATATAGAGGTCTTTGAGGACGGAGCCGAGTTTGTGGAATTCTTTGGGAGCTGGGCGAGGGTTAGAGGACCAGATTGACAGGGGCAAGCATGGCAAGCGGGAATTTGTTTGCTTCTTGACTATACATACATGGCTGTGCTATCTGTGGTAGTGGTGATGATGACGATGACGGCGAAGTAGAGGGTATATTTTGGGGAGCAACTCGTGCTGGTGCTAATCCCGATGCTTCAGCTATATTTTGGGGGTTTTCAACCGGGTCACCAGCCCGGAGAGCGGCACTCTCCTCTGTCTGTCCCGACAAGGACGATTTTGGGTTCGCATCCAGCACAGCAGCGGCGATGTCACCTGCATAGCTCGTAGTGGTACGCTGGGCAACTGGCGGAGGCGGAATCGAGTCTGCATCCGTCGCGAAGAACCTGCCGCATGCTGTCGTTCGGGGTGAGGATGGTCTCAACAGAGCCAGACCTACATGCGAGCAGTTGTTAGTTAGCGCAAATACAGAAAGCAAGGATATGGCACACTGAGCACCCACTTTGCCGCCCAAGAAACCGCCGTATTATCATGATGCGAAAATGTGGTGGGAGACTCTCAATGCGCAGCAGATTTTACCTCTAAGACGGCTCCGGGTTGGAGATAGAAATTATATGGACGATTGCAACTTTTGTACGCTAAACTATTTTTGGATATATGGTACCCCGTCCAACCAGCATTCTTAATTTCTATTACTTTTCGTGCATAATAGTTTTTCACATTTTACCTTTGTAAACACGCGGGAAATTATCTTGAGATGTGTCTGTATATATAACAACGATGAATATTCAATTTTATTTATGAAAATCGTTAGTGATTCGTCAAAACTAAAATCTAGCAAATACAGCAGATACTAGTAGCCGGAGGATCGACATTCTTCAGGTAGAAAATAACGAAGATGGAGAGTCATTATTGTCGTACAGCCATTATATCCGGTAAGTTCATACAGTGAAAAAAGCCGCAAGTGACAAGAATATAAAATGAAAGCAACGGAAAGGGGGAGAAGGAAGAAGAAGAAGAGAAGAAGAAGACAAAGGAAAACGTTGCGAATATAGTCGTGGAACGTGCCAACAGGACGTAAATCAACAACAATTTGAAGATATGCGGTACAACATATCGAACGACAGACCACAACCACCTTCTATCTAAGGAACATCCACAGGAATTCACAATTCACATATCAATAGCCTGCTCACTTCTTCCCGAAAAGCGACCCAGCTGCAGACCCAAGGAAGTTCGAAGAACCCCCGCCGCCATAATGGCTGCCGCCGTGATGGCTCTCATGCTGTGTGTCACGCTATGCTGTGCTTGTGCTTCTTCTTGTCCTTGAGCTTGTCTTCAGCAATGCTT